TAATGCAAGAAGGATATATGAAACTTTTGTTGTTGTCTCTTTGGTGTTGCTTTGATCTGAGTGGTTTCTGGTTCCTGGCAAACTTCAAGTTGTGATTTGGTTTTGTTAATTAGAGAGTTTGCTGTATGAAACGATGATTGAAGCGATGTAGGATGAATAGTTTGGTGATGCATAGAGCTTAAACCAGTATCAGGATATCGTCAACCAAATATAGTTTCTCAAAGTGAATGTTGTATGCTAATGCTGGACGTGAACTGCCGTGATTTACTTCACGAGATATTTAACATGTTTTTCTATGTGATAGGTGTGAGTGGAAAACAATTATTAATACTGTTACGAGACTTCTCTGATATTTTAATGGTAACATGGTAACAATATGGAGAAGTAAATTTCATCTATAGTTTCAAACTTTCTAACCACGAAAAGTCCTAACTATAAATCTTTATGCATTGCTACTGTTATGCAAAGACAATTTTGTTAAGGGAGTTGAATTTAAACCTTATAATTCTCTTTATTCACATATTATGAGAAATTAGATAAATTCTCTCCAAGATCCAACAAATATGTTCTCCAGTTTTGGTTTAAGACCAAAAACATTAATTAACTGCCTACGATTTCACGTTAAAAAATTTAAACTTGCAAATATTGATCCTTCACTTGAGCTTTTGGCATATCAGGATTGAGCTTCTTTGGACCCAAACAAAAATTGATTAATGTAAAAAAGAATTTGATTCTTTTAATATAATGCCATTATATGACAAAAGAGTATAACTAACAATGAAAAAAACTAACACTTCTGTGAATTATTGAATTATCTCAGCCCTGTATGTGTTATTAGGGATGGGCAGAAAATCCGAATCCGAAGAACTGAATCAAACCAAATCCGAAAAACTTTAACCGAATCCAGACCGAAATTTATTAAATATCCGAATAGGTTCAAAATTTTGGTATTTAAAAAACAGAAATCAAACTCGAACCGAAATAATTGCAGATACCCAAATGTATCCGAAATAGATTTATACACCTAAATATATTGATTATTTTTGTATTTAATGTATATTAATAACATTGAAAATGATCATTAAAAGTAAATTATATCCCGCCTGTAGGGCGGGTCGACCCTAGTATGAGAATATGTGTGGTCAAACTTGTATCTCAAGCAAACGGTAATGGTTGATAAGTTTGTGCGATCTCATTTTTTATTCAACTGCTTCATATATATAAACCGCCAAAATTTATATATCTTACAAAATGACAAGTTCCTATTTTGATCATAACCATACTCATCGCAACCACTACAATAAGAGTTAGTAGCACTAAGATT